ATTGAGTCCATTTACATTGAGGGTTAGAATTGAGATGTATTGACTTATGATTGACCTGTTATTTACCTGTTGTGGTTTACTCCTTTTCTCCTGTGTTTAAGTGCTTGCCCTATTTAGTTGGTTAATTCTGATCTCATTTGTGGAATTCTGATCATTTTGGTCCCTCTCTAGAACATCTTTCAAGAGCCTGTGTAGGGTTGCCTTTGTCATCATGAAATTCTTTAATTTTCTTTGTCATGGAAGTATTTCACTTCTTCATCAAACTTGAAAGAGAGTTTTGCAGGGTATAGTAGTCTGGACTGGAATTTGTTTTCATAGAGGACTTGAAGTACTCTGCTCCATGCTTTTCTTGCCTTCATGGTTTGTGAAGTGAAGTCAGCCATAATTCTGATGGGTTTTCCCTTGAATGTGATCTGCTTCTTTTCTCTAGCTGCTTTCAGTATATTATTCTTGTTCTGAATTTCTGAGATCTTGACTATTATATGTATCAATGTGTTTTTAATTGGGTTGAGGTTACTTGGCGTTCTGTATGCTTCAGTTACCTGAGTATCAGATTGTTTCTTCATATTTGGGAAGTGTTCTGCTTTTACTTCTGCCCATTTTTAAAAAATGTCATTTGTGTTTACTCCTTCTTCTCATTGATGCCTATTAATCTCACATTGTTCATTTTTACATCATCTTGAAGGTGATGAATTATTTTTTCCTGCATCCTAGTTTTTTTTTTAAGCAATCCTTTTTTACCTTTTCACTAGCTGCACCAAAATCCTCAAGATCTGAAACTCTGTCTTCACATTCACTTAAATGGTTTTGCAAGCTTTTGATTGAGATTTTAATTTCCTCTATATCTCTTTGACTCTGCTTCATGCGATCTATTTCTTTCCATATTGCTCATTCAAGGAATCCATCATTTTTCTAATCTCCTCTATTTTTTTTTTTATCAATGTCTTCTTTAGAAGCAGTTATTACTTCTTTCACTGCAGTGTTTTTTTCAGATTGGGTTTCTTCCCTATGTTTTTGTAGTTGATTCTTTACTTCCAATGCTATGAGTTCCGAGAATTCTTTTCTTCTTTCAGAAAATTCTGCTCTAACTTCCTCTATATCTTTCTGCTATTGCTTATTTACTATCGGTGCTACTAATTTGTACATTTGAGCTGGGCTAGTAGAAAAGAATTCCTCTCTGAGTTCCTGTATGACTTTCTGCTGTTGCTTATTGACTATTGATGCTATTAATTCATACATTTGAGCTGAGCTAGTGTCCTCTGCTCTTGTTCTGGGTGGGCATTCGGTTTCCTCCATATGTTTCTGCATTTGATTTTTTACTGCAAATGTTATTAATTCAGGGATTTCTTTTTTCATTTCCAATCTGAGTTCCTCTATACCTTTCTGCAGCTGTTTCTTTATTTCAGAAGCCATTGATTCATTGATTTCAGCTGTGTAATTCCCAATTTGTTCTGTGTTAGTGTCCTCTACACTTGTTATGGGCGGGATTGTGTTCTGAGATTGCTTTTTGCTCCTTCTCATTGTCATTTTGTGTAGCACTGTCTTATGACCTTCGTTTTAGATCTTTGTTGCAGTTATAGCCTTAGTACCTACTGAAGTTCAGGTGCAGATCTACAAAATTTGGATTTATCCTGTTGTGCCTGGCTTGGGTCTGGCTGCTGTACTCAGCTCCTTACTGCTGCTGCCCTTGGGGGTGAACCTGTTGTGCCCCTCTGGGAAGATGTACTGCTCCTGGACTAGCTGGGTGGTTTTGTCCCCTATACTCTCTGCAGGGACTGCAGGTGTAGTGTTTCACCTCAGGTCTGTATGCCAGGCCTGAGTTGAGTCTGGAGGGGACAAGGTGACTTAGGGGGGAGAGGCAACTCTCCCACACATTCACTGGGCCTGAGCTAGGACTGGATCTAGGGGTTCCAGGAATGGGGCAGAAATTCCTTCTCGGTGGGTAGGGTGGGGGGTGTATTACAGAGTGGTGGGGGGGGGTCCCAAAGTGGTGGAAGAGGGTTTCACCTATGGTGCACCTGGGATGGGACCTACCATCCCGCCTGCGCAGGGTAGCCAGAAACTCTTCCACACGCTCACTGGGCCTGGGCTAGGATTGGATCTAGGGGTTCCCGGAATGCAGCAGAAGTTCCTACTTGCTAGGCTGGGTGGGGGAGGTGCTGAGGGGTGGTTGGGGGCATCCCAAGGGGGTTGAAAAAGATCTCTCCCACTGTGCGCCTGGGCTGGGCCGGTAGGTCCTGCCAGCGCAGGGTAGCTGAAAGCTCCTCCACACACTCACTGTGCCTGGCCTAGGACTGGCTTTATATTGGCTTATCTTTGTTGTGTTATTGTCCTGTTTTTACTTTCTTACTTTTCCCCTATGTTTATTTGCTTACATATAGACCTAAAGGAGAACAGGAATAGCAAAATTAATACCTCCTGCTCTGTTTTTGTTAGAGCAGGTAACATAATCCTGGACTCAAAGTTACATTACAAAGTTATGGTGAAAGAAACCAAACTGGCAGAAAAATAGACTCAAAGATCAATATGACAGAAGGGAGGATATAGATCAGGCCCATGCATATTCAGCTATTTGCCCTTTGACGATGGGGCTAAAATCATACACTTGAGGAAAGATAGCATCTGTAATGAATGCTGTTGTGAAAAAGCCTGTCCATCTGGGGAAGACATATTCTAGACCCAGGTCTTTCATCATGTAGAAAGTAACATCAAAGATATCAAAGAAGTAATGTGAAAACAGAAGCATTTAACCTGCTAGAAGAAATAGGTAAAAGTCTTGAAATCATAGGCATAGACAAGGACTTCTAAACACAATTCTAGATTCCCAGAAAGTACTATTGAGAATTAACCAATTAAATCAAATTAAGTTAAGAAATTTCTACACACCAAAGGAAACAACTAAATTAATAAAAATAAAATCTACAGGATAGAAAAATTAATTTTGCCAACTATTCCTCAGTCAGAGGACAAATATCTGGAATGTATAAAGAACATACAAACAAAAAGTAGACTTTCCAAATTAAAAAAAAATCTAATAAAAAATGGGCAATAGGAATGAATATGAACTGGGCCAGTGAGATAGCTCAGCGCTATAAAGCACTTTCTATGGCAAGCTTAGAAAACCTCAGGGTCTGCAGTTTGATCCCTGTCACCACATGCCACACCAGCCCCTCCCCGAGGGCAGGCTGAGCCAGCTGCACACAGGCACGGGTGTGTGCAAGCACACATACACACACACACACACACACACACACACACACACAATGGATATAAACTTCACAAATGTAAAAATGGCAACTAAACACATGAAAAAATGCTCAAAATAGCTGCCTGTAGCATAACAAAATTAAAATAACACTGAGAATCCATATTACTCCAGAGAAAAATGGCCATTGTCAAAAAATAAATGAAGGACAATTTTGTATCTGTATATACAAAATAGTTAGGCTAGGTATATAGCTACTTTCTCTTAATTCAATAAGAAGAAAGATTAATAGTAAACACTAATAGTGTTTGGACAGGATATCATGCCTGCATCTTGTGCTATGAATGACTACTACAAAGACAACAATATGCAATGTATTAATTGTTGTAACCTTCCTACCAACCTGTTTTGAAGCTGTCACATTGCAGTTTTTTCTCAATAAAATTAATAGAAAAGATAAAATAAAAGCAATCACAGGAAAGTGAAAAAAATAAAAATAAGATAAAAAAGAAATAAAACAATAACAAAGACTAGTAAGTCTGTGTTAAAAAAAAAAAGACCCTTTTTTCAGAGTTGGTAAGCATATAAATTAATGCAACCACTCTGGAGATCAGAATGGAAAGCCTCAAAAAGCAAAACTAGAAACTCCTTTTTCTCAGGTGTTCTGCTTTCTTCTATCTGCTCGAAAGATGTAAATACATCATAGTATATTGACACACGTATGCCTGTGCTTACAGCAGTGCCATTCACAAGAGCTCAATCTTGGAAACAGTCTGTCTGTCCATCAACGTATGAATAAATAAAATGAGTAATTTACACATAGTGGAGCACTACTTTGCCATAAAGAAGGATAAACTTGAATCACTTTTAGGAAAATGGGTACACCTTGAGGCCAGGTACTATAATTTTAAGTAGAATAAATCAGGCACACAAATAGCAAAATGAATAGGTAGTGGGAAGTAAACAGATATTTCACAGTTGGAAAATGGAAGGAAAGAGGAAGGAAGGCAAAGAAGGTGAAAAAGGAATTAAAATATTCTACATTTATGTACCAACTCCATACAAGGAAGACGAATATTATGCACTGCAAACATGGACTAATTAAAAAAATTCTGATGCATTTTGAAATTTTTTCTTATTCTGGAAGTTTTACAGCTCTGCCTTACTGGGCAAAATAAAGATGCCTATGAACTGCATCTGCACTCAATGTCCACGGAAACATGCAAACAACAATGGATCCATTTCCCTAAGTAATACCCAGGTAAACTTAGATCCCAGGTTGTAAGCAGATCAGATAAAAAATTATAATTAAAACCAAACCTAACCAGAAGATGCACATTCTATGGTACAGGCAATCGATATAAACCTGTATAAAATTTTAGATTGATTGATTTCTAAATTTGAACTTTTGGGGAGACTCTAGAATGGAAAAGGAAAACAAAAAGCCACAGGACCGTCCAGGCTGCGCTCGCCTTCTTACTGATTAGGGTGGGAAGTAAAGGACCAATCAGAGTCACTTGTCCTTGGGTTCCAGCCAATGACGAGAGGCGAGCCCTGCCTCTGGGGCGAGAGCACGGTCAGTACAGGTTCCAGCAGTTGGAGAGCAGAGGCCGGGTGTGGCAGCCCGTTGGTCCCCATCCCTGCAGAGCTCAGCGTGGTTCCCTGCTCAGGACTGCGTGCTCCGTGCTCCACTGGTCTGGTCGTGTTGCGAGGCCTCCTTCCAAGGAGTCCTGCATTTCTTCAGGGCTTCCAGGCAGCCAGTTTACTGGCGGTTCTCTACCCATCCTTGGGATCATTCCAGCCTCTGTGATCACAGAAGCTCCTTTATGGTGAAGGTCGGAGATGGAGGGAGAACTGGAGAATAGGAGGAGAAGAGAGAAAGGTTCGCTAAAGGGAGCATCCAGTGGCCATGGCCCATACCACTGCAGAGGCTGAGGCAGCAGGGTCGCAACTATGAGCCCAGCTTGGGCAACTTAGCCAAAGCCTGTCTCAAATAAAAATAAAAACGAGCTGGGGAGGTAGCTTAGTGACAAAAGACCCCTTGGTTCGATCCCTTGTATCACTCCCCAGTCACCCTCATATCCGTCCAAAAATGGCGAATGAAGATGAGGGCTTTTGTTCTAAAAACTCAGTTCTGATTTTAGATTTGTTTTCCGCCCTACCTTGATATTCAGCATTTAGAGGGCAGGGAGGGGCAGGAAACACTGCTTGCAATAAGAGCTTTAAGTTAAGGTCCTCATTAACAAAGGAAATGTTCCCTCCTTCCCCATTCCCTTTCTGGGTGAGAGCAGCCTGTCGCTGTGAGGCCTGAGAACCTAGTAGAATGTACAGCCTGGTCCTGCGACACTGCACGGACAGGTAGAGCCACTGCGCTTCTCAGGCCAGAGCCGCTGCTAGTTACAGCTTGGTACCTGTTTCACTTCCTGGGAGTTGAATGACTGGGCTGGGAATGGGAGAGCACGCAGGAGATGGAGGAGAAGGAGGAACATTGCTTGGGTTGTGGTTGGCTTTTCTGCAGAAGATAATGACCTGTGTTTCCCTTACGCGTAGTAAGAAGGAAAATGATAATCTTCACAATCTTTTTATGTGGAGTCCTTGCTGTTCTTCTTTGGCTGATGTTAAAGTTCCCTAAAAAAGGTAAGTGAACATTTACGCCAGAGTAATAGTGTTGAGCCTGTCTGATGTCAATGAGTAACCTTTCCTTTCACTGTTGTGAAGAGTTGCAATCCATCAGAGTGCCCCGCAAATTTAGTCTTCTGTTTTACCTGCTAGAGCGATCAGTCTGTCAGTAAATACTTAGCTCAGGCATGCAGTCAGCTGCTAAGGGTTCAAATGTGATGCGAGCCTAGGCTCTTCCCCCAGGCCTGTACCACAGAATGTGCATAGACTATCTGTGACTGAAGAAACAGATAGAAGAACAGTTGTAACTCAGTAATATTTACATCTTGCTTTCACCTTGTCCTAAGAGCACCACTTCTAAATATGACCGTCTCTATAGCTATTCTGTCTAAGTAGAGTGACAAGATGAGGACATTTGTTCTAAAAGCATAGCTCTGAGTTTTCCTTTGTTTCCTGGCCTCATCTTGAAGGTCAGCATTTGGAACAGGAATGGTAATATCAATAGAGTATTCATGATAATAAGGACATCAATAGAATATTTATATTCCACACAAAGTCCAATATTGTCTTGCTCAGTCACCAATATAAATCCAGTAAATCTCTTAATTATACCATCATTCTTTTCATTCTCAATTGAAACATCTCCTCAGAAATAGATGTTATGTATAATTCCAACTTTAAACAAAATAAAATAATTGGATGTTAATTTTTAAAAGAAAATTAAATTTATTGTGTAATTCTAGTTACTTTTATTTATTTATTTATTTTTGGTACCAGGAATCAAACTCATGACATCATGCTTGTCAGCAGGTGTTATGCCATTGATCTATATCCTTGGCCCAATTATATGTCTTTTACTTACCAATTTATTTTTTTCTCCCTTTTCTTTTTCTTTTCTTTTCTTTTCTTTCTTTCTTTCTTTCTTTCTTTCTTTCTTTCTTTCTTTCTTTCTTTCTTTCTCTCTTTCTCTCTCTCTTTCTTTCTTTCTTTCTTTCTTTCTTTCTTTCTTTCTTTCTTTCTTTCTTTCTTTCTTTTTTGTATTTTAGGGAAGGATCTACAGGGCAAACAGGGTCTCACCATACCCAGTCTCAATTGTCATCTCAGTGTGCCCAGGGGCAGGGCTAGCACAGCAGGGTGGGGATCGAACCCCTGGCCCCTGTACCTGTTTGCAAGAGCTTTAATTCACTGAGCTATTTGACTGGCCTATTTTTTTCTCCTTGATAGGGTAATTTCTTTGAAAATTTTTACTGGATAGCTTTTTCATAAGTTTTACCTTCCATTCCTTTCTCCCCTCCTCACCCATACTGCACCCAGGACTCCAAGCATGCTGAACATTTGCTGTACAACTGCGCCTCAGCCTTTAGCTCAAGGGGCTGATTTGGTGTTCTTTGAGGGAGCCCCAGTGCTGGGATGAAGCTCAGAGCCTCCCTCTTGCTGAATACACGTTCTGCCTTTGAAGAACACTCCAGCCCTTTGGCTCCTCCATTAAAGGCACTTTCATCACGCTGCTACATTTTTTAAAGTTCATTGAATTGTCTTTCAAATTTGCCAAAATAATTTCCATTTTCTCATTGCAGCCAGTCACTGTCAGCTTTCATTTTATTTCTTCTGCAAAATAAATTCTCTATCTTGTTTTAAAAAAAAAAAAACCATATGTCTTATTCTAGTTGTTTTTCCTACCTAATTTGTCACTCCTATTATCTGTGGTCTTCCTTATTTCAGCAAATAGGAAATCGAACCTTCCCATTTTAAATATAAAAACTCATAATCATTTATCAACTCATTTCCTTGTCATATTCTAAATATAATAAGAAAATTCTGCCTGGTTTTGCATCCTAGAGCTAGCTCTCATTTTCTTCTTTTATTATTCCCTCTGTCAAATCTGATTTCCTGGAGCAACCTAGTACAGAAAAAAATATAATGTCAGTCCAAATGTTATCTATTTACACATGTGGTTTCATTTCTGGCACTACACTAAGAAAGTGAATAGAAGATCCCAAAACCACTTCCAGTTGAATCTAATTTACCCTAGTATAGCCAGTATATTATTTGCTATATAAGAGTAAAAATTATGTTTTAGATTTTTCATTTTTAATGAAATATTTGTTATATATTTGTTTTTTTAAATATTTGTTTTTTAAAATATTTGTTATATTTGTAGGATGTCTGAGTTTGGACTAGCCACATTTTCATTGGTCAGAATCTGTTTGGGAAAAGTATGCACACAAGCAGATTTTAAAATTCTTGCCTATATTCTGAAAACTTAAGTTTTAATAGAGCATGCTTATAATACAGAGCAGTGATGGTCTTTTGGGGGGAATTACTATATGAGTGTCCTAGTTTGTGTCTAGAGGTGTTCTCTGCAGCCTCATACAGTCACAGGGATCTTCAGAGGTAGCTGAGTCTAGAGTGTGCGATGCGATGCTGGGATTAAGGGTGTTTGATTAGTAAATCAGTTCACTGATTGCTTTGAAGCGATTCTGGCTAGGAACAGGATGTGAGTCCTGCACCTGACATAGAGTTGGTAGCTTGTACACAGTGCAAGGAACAGAAAGAGTCTTGTCTTTCCCATCTTGTTGCTTTTTTTGTCTTCCACTACCATGACTGTTGTCCCTCTGCCATATGCCCCCACGCCTTTGTGCCATCCCATTATAGACAGAAACCTCTACAAACTGTGTGCTAAGTAAAATTTTACCCTCTCAAGTTAGGTGTTGGGTGTTTCAGCTCAGCAATGAGAGAAAAACACATAAAACAGAATTTGGCACCAAAGAAGTGGGGCCGTCACTGCGACTGTACTTGACCATGTGGTTCCGAAGCCTTTGAGATTAGCCTGTGGGAATAGCTTGGGAAGCTTTGGAGATGCCAGCAGAAAACATGGAGCTGCAATGCCTGAGGCTGTAGTTTATAAAAGACTCTGTTTAGAGCTCAGCAGGCAAGAAGGCTGGCAGAGGAGGTCCTGGTAAAGACCATGCTCAGGAAAGAGGATGGCATTGGCTGTTGAACTCCAGATTCTGTGTATTACAGCTTGGCATGAAGTTTGTCTGTGTTTGGCTCTTATCCAGAAACTGCTTGAGACTGAGATTATAATTAATCTTGAAGAAGTAATTTCAAGGCAGTCTAATACTGAGGCAGTGGCACAGCTACAATTGGGAACTTATATCCAGATTTATGTTGAGAATCAGGAGCCAAGAGCCCAACAGACTGATTTTAAACATTGTGAGTTTCTCCAGAAAGGAAACTCCAGTAAAGCTGTGGACTGCAAAGATAGAGGAGAGGAAAATTTGATTGCTGAGAAGAAGTAAGAGAACAGAAAAGATGACCTGAAGACAACAGAATTCCACTTTTTTTGATCTCAAAATTGCAAAAGTGAAAGATTTTGCTTAGAGACAAAAGTCATGGTGCACCATATTTCAGTATGGGGTAGGCCAGAAGAATTTCTACTTGGAATTGGATTCCAGTGATCTAGGCACTTGACCCCGATAGCCAAGAGAGGGAAGCCTGGCTACTGCTCCAGAAGGCAGCAGACCTTGGCACCTTTCACATGGCTCTTGCTTTAGGTGCATATATAGTAGGAGCATTGTGGGGTGAGGTAGGCTTCCACCCAGATTTTGGAAAGTGGCCAGACAGTGTGCTCCTGAGAAGGCAAGTGAGTGAAGATGTAAGTGTGAAACAAAACTTGCAGTGGAGACCCTGAAAGTTTAGAGGAGCTTAGAATATGGACCCTTTGATGAAAACTGAAAGAAGTGAAGCGGGCCCAAAGCAAAGCCACAGGAGCTTTAATCCCTGGGTGTGCTAAGGGTGAACCATCCAAGCACCTTGGAGCTCACAGATTGCCTTGGATGATACACTTGGAACTATAGGACTTAATGTGCCCAGATGGATTTTGACCTGGCTTTGGCCCCATTTCTTTGATTCCTTCCATTTGTAACTTTTGGAATAGAAATGTCTGTCTTCTTCCATTGCATTTTGGAGGAGTTGAGCTTTCTTTTCACCTGTGAAGACTCACAGCTAAGAGTTTGCCTTGTATCTTGGAGGAGATATGGGATGTGGACTTTTCATGATGCTGAAACTATGCAGACTCTGGCAACTCTTGGAGATGGAATAAAGGGATGCTCATGAGTCTGAGAGGCCAGGGGCAGCATGTCATGTTTTGTATCTAGCTGTCCCCTCAAAGCCTCATTGATTACAGGGCTCTTGCAGAGGTGGCTGAAACTAGAGTGTGTGATGCTGGGTTTAAGAGTGTATGACCAGTAAAGCAGTCTACTGATGGGTTTGTCACATTTCTGGCTAAGATTTGAGGTGTGAGTGCTGCATCTGCCCAAGGGTGGACAATATATGGGATAGGAAGTCTTTGACTCCACCACGTTGTTGCTCTTTCTGTCTTCTGCCAGCATACACTGCTGTCCCTAGGCATGTCAACCTGCCTCAGAGCTAGCCAATTATGGACTGAAACTTTCTCAAACTGTGAATGAAGTAAACCTTTTCCTTTTTAAGTTTCAGTGTGGGGTATCTATCTTGTCTGAGGAACAAGAGAAAAGTAACTCAGACAATGCATGGAATATCACTTAATGACTTACACTGGTTTTAAATGGCTTTTCTATCCTTATCGTATTCTTTCCCCATCTCCAAAGCTCTTCTGTCCTATTTCCAGTTACATCTCTCTTATTAATTCAATTATTTATATTTTAGGTTTTCTATGTAACAGAAAGCATGTATATTTAACTTTCTGATTCTGGTTTATTTTGCTTAGTATGCTGGTCTTGAGTTTCATTTATTTTTCTGTAAATTACATGATTTTATTTTTCTTCCGTGCTGAATAATAGACTCAAAATAATAAATTATTATTGTGCATCTACATCACATTTTTTTATGCATGTATCTGGTAATGGTCATAAATAAAATCTGTTTCTAGAGTTTAAGGTTGGAAATTGTACCCTATCAAGTGAAAATATGGGTGTCACTAGAGTATGCTATCTTTCTTTCCAGATTAAACCCAGTGCAGGCCCAAATGAAATTAGTATTTTAAATTATTTTAAGGAATAAAATAATTTCCCACTTACATCTTCACCCACTTGCCTTCTCAGGAGCACACTGTCTGACCACTTTCCAAAATCTGGGTGGAAGCCTACCTCACCCCACAGTGCTCCTACTATATATGCACCTAAAGCAAGAGCCATGTGAAAGGTGCCAAGGTCTGCTGCCTTCTGGAGCAGTAGCCAGGCTTCCCTCTCTTGGCTATCGGGGTCAAGTGCCTAGATCACTGGAATCCAATTCCAAGTAGCAAATTCTTCCGGCCTACCCCATATTCAATCTTAGGTGTGATGTGGTATGAATGCAAGCACTCAATCCATTCAAAGCTCTAAATTCAATCACTAGCACTGCATTGTGTGGAGAGAAAAGCTCCCAGTAGCGTCAACATCTAAAGAACCATTTTTGAAATGATTTCTCAAAAGTTAAAAAAGAGAAATAAAGAAAAATAAGAAATGAGGCATCAAAAGGAAGATAAAAAAGAATTAGCTTTTTTTTTTTTTTTTTGTGGAACCCGGAATTCAACTCAGGCCCTTGCACTTGCCAGGGAAGCACTTCTTCCACTGAGCCATGTCTCTGGCCTCCCAAATAGCAAATTTTAATAACAGTAAAATATAATAATAATAATAACAATAATAATAATAATAATCAACCAGGAAAAAGGGGGCATTTGAGATGTTATGACAAGAAAGAATAGTAGGTAAGGGAAAATGAATGGAAATTGAGGAAACATTTTGTGATTGAATTCAATCAATTAATTAGCAGAGACACAAATTTAGAATTCATAAGGACAAAATTCTTGATAGTAGAAGCTGAGAGAACAGAGTATCTTACTGTACAAATAAACAAGTGTAGAGACAGGGGACATTTGAGAGGGAGTAAGAAAGGAAGAAAAAAGGGAACACCAGAAAAGAATGTGAGTAATGAAAAAATATGTAGAGAGATTAAATTCAATTAATAAACTAAGAAAAGAATGAATTTAGCTACCTCTGTTAACTCTTGGCGTGGGGGAACTTACTGTCCTGGTAAGATGGTATGAAAGCAAAAACAATAGCCAGCACTCAGAAGTTCTTACATATATGTGACCATCTTGAGACATCAATAAAACACACACACACAGAGAGAGAGAGAGAGAGAGAGAGAGAGAGAGAGAGAGAGAGAGAGAGAGAGGCAGGTTCACATTTCCCCCTCATGGTAGTTTTATTTTAGGGACACTATTTTGGATGGTACCTGATAGAAAGGGTGTGAGATCTTTTTATTCCTTAGTCCAGAATTCTCCTCCATGTCTCAACAAGTCCGATAGTAATCTAGAGCAGGCAAGATGCAGAACTCTGCCTTGTGCTTGTGTATGAGCACCAGAGAGGCCCACCAGTGGCACAGCTAGATCCACTCTGCCAGCTTTACACCTTGTCTATACTGGGTATGAGGGTGCTGGAAACTCAGACTGTGTAATGGATCTGTCACTTCTTCAGTCTGTGAGAAGACCCAGAGCGAGGTGTAAAGCTGCGTGCCTTCCCAGGTGCTACTTTTGGAGCCACAGCTGTCTCCTGCCTGCATGCTGCAGTGCTCACTCTGAACATGAGAGCAGATCAGAGGCAGGATGGGCGCTCAGGGTCTGTGTTGGTTTGAGGCATCCTACAGTGCCACCCCCAGGGCTCCTCCTGCCAAGCTCCACAGGGCTGAGCCCTTTGAGTACCCAATGAATCAAATTGCCTCTGTTTTAGGCTGTTTTGATTTTGATCTTTAGTGAGCTGGGGCTGGAGTGTTTCTCCCAATCTCATGACTGTATCTTCCTCTGTCACAACCACCTATTGTCTTGGGCCTATGCTGGTTATTAAGGCAGATTGCCTGTTTCTTCCCTGTGGTGAGGTTGGGAATATTGTGCACTTATGGGAAAGCCAAGGAGTTGGTTACTAAGGCAGACGGAGTAACTCAATTTCACCCAAATCCCTCTATAGCTTGTTCTACTGAGGCAGGCTTTGTAGGAGTGATTTCTACGGTGTCTCCCCAATCCCTGTCCATCTAAGGATGGGGATTCACCTCTGCCTGGGGTCACTTGGCTGTGCTCAGCTCTGGCTGCTTGGACTGTGTCTTCACAGTGGCAGAACGAATGCTCAGAAGTCTGTGGTAAGTTCATCTTCATACTCCTGCCTGAGGGGAAAGCTGTCCCACCTCCGGGGCCATAGCTCCCTCGGTGCAGAAGGCGCTGCTTCAATTAATGCAGTTACCTTTCTAAGTAGCAGTGTTCCAGAGTCTGAGTTGTTAATTTCCTCAAGCCACACTCCCTGATTTCCTATAGTTCTCCTCTCTCCTCAGAGAATCATGTTCTTGTCATTTTTGTCAAGCATTTAGGATGGACAAGTAAGTGCTGACACTTCTTACCCTCTTACTTCCATGGATCAAATATGCCCACAATGCTGCATTTGTGCTTTATTCATTTGGATTAAAGGTGGGTCTGGTCTGTGGGCTCCAGTGTTACTACTGGGTCTAGTTACAGCATCACCTTTCTAATATCATTTGATTCTTGCTCATCAACTATGTATGCAGGGAATCGGATAACCTTACTAGCTGGTGAACAATGCCAGAGCCCTTTACTGGATGTCTCACACTCTCGCTTCCCATTGCTTCAGAGGCTCTTACCCCTAATGCTCTTTTACCACTTTATTCAATCTTTTATTAAACATTACCATTGCATTTGAAATTATGCTGCTGACAGCATGAAAACTGCTCCTTTTTCCACCAATAAATCTAGATAAACCCCTCATTATATAATTTCAAACATGTTAGACTTCATGAAAGCAAATATTTTTTCATGCTATGCAAATTATTGTGTTCCTAAAGTCACAAATCAAGTTTAGCATGGGGTAAGTGCTCACCTGATAGTTGTTAAAAAAAAAAAAAATGAAAGGGTATGTGAATTAGTGAGTGAAAGATTTCACTCACTGGTTTCTGTTGATCCTGGCTTGGGACCAAGTATTTCAGTTTGTATATGTCTTTTTTTTAAATTGATCCTTTCAAAAATTTTGGTGACCTAACTATTTTCACTTGGCTGTTTTACCACCTTTCGCATGTACAGAAACATCTTGCTAGGTTATCCTTCCATTTTACGAACTTCCCATTGATTGTTTTGACTATGAGATAGTCACTTATTTTTGAGTTGGTGTTGTGTTAAACCTTGTTTCTCTCAGAAGTATAACTTAATGAGTCATTTCCTCTTCCTAGTACAGAAAATTAAGGAGCAAAACCTGGATGATAAAAACTAGGAAAATTTCAGCACTTTTCCTTCTAATGTCTTTTGTTTCAAGACAAAAGATAAAATTTTCAACTGTTGGGGAAATGTGGTATTTGAGACACAACTGATTTGCAGCTAAATCAATAATTCAGAAACAAGTCTGTGAGATTAGAAAATAGGTAGATTTGTCTTCTCTCAATGAAACTTGCGCCTGATGGCATAATAACTTTTAGGAATTGAAATACACATAAAATGATTCCAGAAGCATAAGAAAGAAAATGGAAGGAAAAATAGCCAGATGATATGGAACTTCTGGAGGTTTGCTTATTTGCTATTGTTGTTTTGAGTTATGAATAGATTCTCATCTTCCAATGACAACTTATTTCATGCTTTGTGGTTGATATTCACTTGTTCTTGATAGTTGGGTTCAAGGGCCCTCTGAGTTGATGTTCAAATCAATCATTCAAACTGAATGAGAAAGTAAAATCATCTTATCGACATAAAATATATGAAAGTCTTTTACATGTAAGGTCAGACCTTTGCTCTGACACTTTCTTTTTTATCACTGTGTTGATTTTAGTTGCAATTAAAAAGGCCAATATGAATTGCACAGATGACATGAGGATATGTCCACAGGACTGGGACCTAATCAGAATGAGCTGCTTCTTTGAATCTAAACAGGATGTTACTTGGATCCAGGGACAGGAACACTGCAGAAAATACCATGCAACTCTGGCCAAGATCGTCTCCCAGATTGAAATGGTTCGAGTCTTTTTCAGTTCACATCTAACAATTTGCAGAGCTGTGGTATGGGAAGCATATTTTTTGGGGAAGGGCTTGATCTCTTAGACCGCAAAATAGTTAGAGATTAGTAAGTTTAATGCAAAATAGTATAAATAAACTGATATCGTATGGTCACCAACTGAGTAGGTTGATTTTGGTTAAATGTGTGAAGGAGGTAAAGAATTTAGTCATGGCAATTCCTAAGGAGATCATCTAAAAAAAAATAAACTGTCAGAGAAGTCTTCAAGGCAGGGCTAGAATGCTGCAGGAACAGAGAAGAGGTGGGCAGTCAGTACATAAAAGAGAAGGGAAGGGTACTGATGTGTATCACAAGGCTCTTGTAGGTTATTGAAAATGCTTTAGGTTCTTATTCCAAGCAAAACAGAGAGATGTCTCAGAATTATAAGCAAAATGACGATACGCTCTCACTCTGGTGTTAATAGGATCATTTTCCTTGCTGTGATGAGATTAGCAACTGGGTGGCATAAAAAGGCAAGAAGTTACAGTGTGAGGCACTTACAGTAATCCTAGCAGAAACTTAATGGACTCAGACAAGGAGGGTAACCTTTCATGGAGTAAAAATGAGACAGGTAGGCGACACTAGTCTGCATTTTGTCACAGGATTCTATTAAAAGCTTTCTGGAAAACTCTACCTATTGGATTGGACTGAGGAAACATACTTCTGATAATGCCTGGAGATGGATGGATGGAAGTCACTTCAACAATTGGTAAGCCTTACCGACCTTTATTCATTATGAGCTGTGTTAAGCATGGTAAGAATTCTATTTCTATGGGTAGCTACCATGATAGTCTCCTCCACACCCTTCCCTTAACTAGACATCAAAGAGAATGTTCAGAGAGCCTGACTCTCCTCAGGGAAGTCTTGCCTCAAAGGTTAATACTTACTTCTAGCTGTAGAATGTGACTAATCCATGTGTGAGGCACGAGTGTTCTGTTTACCCTAGACTCCATGCAAAAATATTTAGTTTGCTCCTTGACTCTGTTCACTTAGGTCTTTTCTACTTATTTATTATTAAAGTCAGTCCTTGAACGTTTTCTTTGATGGAAGAGAATTCAATGATGTAATGAGGCCTATATTTGCACAAGCATCAAGGGTGTGGAAAGAAGGAATGAAAATGGGAAAAGAAAGTGCTTGCTTAGCTTATTTTTATTTATAATCTCTAAGCTCCTCTGTATTCTTTACATTCATTTTACTCTTAGGTTCCATTTGGCTCTAAAAATATTGAAAGTTTCTCTTTACCTGGATGGATGAAGTACTCAGAATGATATTGTGTTCTCTGTAGAGAAATCACTGGGTTTTTCACAAGGTCCCATGTACTGAGTGGCTGCTTCATGATACCCATTCATCCTGTGGTAATATTGTAATGTAGCCAGTGCTAGGTTTATGTATATTACATGATAGATTTCATAGCCAGAGTTTGTAAGACTGGAGAAACTTTTGTTATTATTCTATGTATACCATGTTTTGGGTCCCACAATGACTTGAGGGCAACAGTGTAACTTGAGAGTAGCAATTACATTTCATTTGAAAAATGTAAAATAAGGTAGCATATAAATTAATTTTTATGCCTACAATACAGGCCAATATTTACATTTTCTTGAAAGAAAATATTAACACCCAAAACGTAGTGCTATACTTTATGTACTGTTCGAGGTTGTTTTTTTTTAAATTAGGAAAAAATAAAAGCTGTGCACTGAATAGAGTTCATGCATTGCTGTTGTATTAGTTCTATAATAAATGCCCAGACTGTGAAGCTTAAAAGCAGGTCTGGGGCCAGCCAGATAGCTCAGAAGACTAAAGCAACTGCTCAGGCAGAGCACAGCAGCTGGGGTTGGATCCTGGAGTGCCATGCCTGCCCCGCCCCCAGGGCGTGCTGAGAGGGCAGTGGAGACTGGGTGAGGTGGCATGCACTTGTAATCCCAGCGCTCGAGAGGCTGAAAACAGGAGAATCACTGCAAGTTTGTTCTATACAGTGAGACCCTGTAGACCCTGTATTAAATACAAAAATAAAAGAAAACAAAACAGCAGTTCTGGAGGCTAGCAGTCCATGCACGGGCATTGACTGCTTAATGTGCTGGCAGTGCTGGTTTCCTCTGTTTCTGTTTCCTCATCTTATAGAAGCTGAACATCCCAATTCTTACATGGCTTACTCTGTGCATACTCAAGTCAGCATCTCACCTATTTCCTCTTATGAGAACATCAAGTATATTGAATTAGATTTAAACTTCATTAAAAAGAATTCATTTAAACTTGATTAGGCCTATCAAAAACTAATCTCAGGGATGATTCTATTTTGAAACAGAGAGGATTAAGGCTTCAACATATGGATTTTTTTTTTGTTTCTGAGTCAGGGATTGAACTTTCCAGGCAAGCACTTATTCAACTGAGCTATCTCCCCAGCCCCTAACATATGATATTTGAGCAGGACATAATTCATAGCAGTTGGCAAGTTCTCTAAGAAACCAAAAGACTGGAAAATACTGTTGACCCTTTGTACCTGCAGGTTATGCAAGCATGGATTCATGCAACCACAGCTGAAAATGTCAGGAAAAAAATGGGTATATCTATTTTTTCCATAATTTTATTGAGAAACAAATAGCAATGAGACAGTTTCAAATCAAATTAGTAGGACAGTTTCAACAATTAATACATTGCATATTGTTTTCTTAGTGGTCATTCAAAAAATGGGTATATCTAGACTGACCTTGTACAAACAGCTTTTTTCCCTGGTTATTATTCCCTAAACAACATAGTGCATGAAGTATTTACATAGAATTTGCATTGTACTAGGTATTACAATAATGCAGAGATAATTTATATTCTAAAATATGATGTATGTAGGTTCTATGCAGTTACAATACCATTTTATATAAATCCACATCTGTGGAGGTCTTAGAGCTAACCCTTGAGTGTAATGAGGGATGGCTATATACAAATACTTTGGAAATAAGCCAAATAAAAACTTGAAAATAACCTAGAAGTTCTTAGTAAAGTGTACACCAGTGTTGTCAAGCTCCAAAAACTGAGTGTGGAAAGAATCTTCAATTAGCCAGAACTCATCATAATTTATCATTCTGATTTTCCTTTTGAGTTTTCAATTTCATACATTTATACATGATCTAAAGAGTGAATTGAGAAAATCTTTTGAAAACATCTTGTCTATGATCCTTTGTATATTATGCTGCATCCAATTGAAAAGAATTATTTTACTATGGTGCTAGCTGCTGAGTGGCTGAATAAACATGGATTTCAGCACTAAATTGATTTCAGCACAATTCTTATAGCATGAAAGGTAATCAATGAAATGTTAATAATGTCCCCCTTTATATTATCTGTAAATGTCTAGACGTATTATTTTTTGATGCTAAAGCACTAAGAGAAGAATCCAGTCTCCCACAAAAACATTTGCATGCTTTGTACATTGGTAAAAGCAGAAAAGTGTCAGGACTGTATTGTTAATGCAATCGATTAACAGAGTGGCCTCGCCTACGCCTGCAGTCCTGAGCTAAATTTTGGACACTGATGGGTGGAGAGAAACCCTTTATTTACTTCCTCTGCTCTTACTACATTGCACATTTGCAAACATGGTTGCACACATTCAATATTTGAGGCTGTTCTTGGTTACTTTTTATGAGACCCGATAAAGAAGTCTCTTTCTCTCTCTCTCCCTGTCCCCTCTTTTTCCAGGTCTCCCATAAGTGGTTCAGGCACTTGTGCCTTCGTTAGTGCCAATGGTTTAGACATTAGCAGATGCGATGAGACAAGAAGATATTTGTGCATCAGAAAAAGCTACTGTGCTTAGAATTGTGCTACACTGAAAATGGAGAAAAACTTCCATTTTTTGTACATTTTAAACTCACGTGGATACATTTTCTTCCTCTCAACATGCCTTAAGTGGGATAAAAATTTAAATAAATTTCATATAAATTTAACTAATTGGTAAGAAGCTTGAGAATTAAAAGTTTCACATAGTGGTACTATGCTACTTAAGTTTGTGCACTTACACTGAAGGTCTCAGGCCTGCGATGTCTTAAGCAACAGAATGGAAAGAGACTGAAGGGGACAGAAAGACTCTCCTAACTCTCTGGAATTCTACTGAATCTGCCTAAAAGAGGGAAAAGCAGCAACTCAAAAACAACAGAATGGAAAGCGACTACAAAGACAGAGAAGTTTTTCTACCTTTTGCAATTGAGCTAAATCTGCCTAAAAGAGGAAAAAAGAGGGACAGTTTTATGTGAACTAGATCAGCGCTTCCCAAGTAATAGCAATGTGTAACTCATTTAGAATTTGGAAAGAAGACTGGGAGAAGTACTCAGGGGCTGATTAGGTACCTTGTTCTGCCATTAGAGTCTAAATTTCTTGGAAATAAAATTCATACAGAGCCGTTGACAACTCTCCACGATTCTGTACATTCTTATTCTAGTTACTAAGTGGAAGAATCATTTAAATTAAATTGATTGCCTGTTGTCATTACCCCTGAATGTGGAGAAGAAGTCAGGCTTTGTGATAGGCACCATAAAGAGAACACACAAATATTTAGAAAGGAACATTAGGAAGGAAGACCTGATGGAAGTAGTTGCCATGGGTTCTTAGACTTCTGACGTCATGTCATCATTGTCGCTCTGTGATTCAGCGCCCTCTAGAAGGGGAGGATTCTATACGGGCTTCCAAGATGTTACCAATAGCCTGAAGGTGCTTGCTCAGTTTGGATGAAAATCACAAATTGGCAAGGGCAACTCTTAGCCCTTAACGTGGTAGCTCTGTTCTACTGTACCTCTTCCCATTTTCCCTCTTCATCACCTTTATACCTCTCTTTCTCCTTTGCTTTCCTCCTACTTTTCTTCCTCTTCTCAAGTCTCCTCACCTTTCTTTCATGCCTCCCCATTTTTCTGCTGCTTCTCCTCCTCTTCCTTATTTCCCACCTCATTCTCCTCCTCTCTTCCTCTTTCTCCTCATCCTCTTCATTCTTTTCTATTTCTTCCTTTTTTCCTGCTGATCCTGGTTTTTCTCTTCCTTTCACTCCTGCTTTTCTTTTTTTTTTCTTCCTTCTTCCTCCTCCTGTCTGAATTCTTTACTGCAGTGTCCCTTAGCTCTTAGCATATAGCTACTGGTGCTACACAGCCCTTGGGTATTTCCACCTCTCCTACTCAGCAGCTGGCCTTCATATGTATGCCTCTTGGAGGCCATCTGGAGCCCTTCAGCAGCTTTGAGCATCTCTTCATCATATTCACAGGTCTCAATGGGTCTTGCCTTTGCACTGCTCTAACACTCCGGCACATGTCCAAAGCCCTCTGGCTGCCATGCGTGCTCAAGACAAAAGCCCTAAGTATGATACACTCTTTGTGCAATCTGCTTATCCCATTCTAGTGAGTTAAAAATCACAAGAAGGCAGAAAAATCAAGGATTTATTGTGACCCGCAGGGCAGCATAGGGGGACAGTGCCCAGAAGATAGCCTTCTTGGCTTAACTGGAAAAGGGTGACAGAGTGCTGCTCAGGGAAAGGTTGGGTCTGGCATGCTCATTGTTCTGCATTTCTTGAAACTATTTTGGGACTTTGATTGTAGTGGGTGGAGTCATCCGGAGAGACGTCAGAGTGATGTCATCTGGGACAGGTCCATTTGGAGCTTGCAATAGCCAGTGTAAGTATCTCCCAGTGTGGCCATGAGCCAGAGAGAGCGCTGTCAGTTGTCCTGATAACAATTGCAAACTGTAGAAGTGACTGCTGGGCAGCTCCTGCCATTTGCACCTAAACCCTCAAAGGCAAAGTTTCCAACCCCACTACTTTCCAAGGGTTTCTAAGAGCAGCTGCTGGAGTTTGATTGTGACCCAGTAGGGTTGGGGACCTGGGAGATGATGGCAATGGGGACCCGCCCCTAGCATAGCTTTGTCCCATCAGGACAGACTACCAGCTGCTCCTCAGGAGGACGGCAGCAGCACCTGATCAGACAAGAACACGAGAGGAGCTTCATAGCCATGGCTGCTGTTAGCAAGAAGGGTCAAGCTGTGGTGCAGGGTGCTGTGGAGGCCACCTCAGTGGTGGCTGAAGACGTGTGTGGGGTCACCTTTAGGGAAGCAAAGGGGATATGTGATGCAGGCCACTGAGGTAAGACCCAAGCTGGATGTCTCAATTGGGCCTTACGTTCACAGTTCACTGTGACTTGAAAATGAATGATGATTTCTCTGAGTTCTCAAAAATGATGGAGCTTAACTTTCTGTAATACTCACACAGAGTTCTGAGAAGCAGAGCAAGTGTTAATATCTGACCAGAAATAAAATTTCTGAGGGCCGGTGGTATTGCTCAGCAGACTAAGCACTTGCTTAGGTAAGTGCAGGGGCTGGGGTTCGATCGCTGGCACTGGCCCCGCCCCCAGGCGCGCTGAGCTGGTAATGGACTCTGGACATGGTGGCACACACCTGTAATCCCAGCACTAGGGAGGCAGAAATCAGGAGGATCACTAAAAGAGTCTTAGCTGCATAGTGAGACTGTACACACACACACACACACACACACACACACACACACACAGAACCTAAAAGAAAAAAGACATAAAATTTCTGCACTTTAAAAATATTTAACTTTAGCTTTATTGTCCTCATTTGTGTATATATAAACACAATGAGCAATTCTGTTTTAATATTAACTTATACTATGAAGTATAAGCATTTTTTATTCAATAGTAGTTTGCTTTTACATTTTAAAGTCATTTATTTATTTATTTATTTATTTATTTATTTAGTAAACGGTATTGCTTGGACTTGTAGGGATCTTCCTGTTTCAGATTCCCCACCACTGGGATTACAGGCATGAGCCACCACACCCAGTTTTGGTGGCCGGTGCAACATGTGGCACTGGGGATTGAACCCTGGGCCTTGAGCTTGCCAGGCAGGTGCTCAGAACACGAAGCTATCTCCCCAGCCGAACAGTTAGTAATTTTCTTAAGTGAGCATATTTCATGTTAGATGATATACCTGAGATTATCTTAAGATGATAGAACCACATTTGAAATCGAATTTTCTCTCATGCACACAGCAGAAACAATCTATATGAAAAATAATACAAGAAATAACGTTCTCTATTATAAAATTGCATTTTTTTTTCATTCTCTGGATGGACAGGAATTTACTAGTGTATAAGATATGCTACTCAATTAAACCCATTTGTTAAAATATGATTAACGGAGGCCCGGGAAAATAGCCCAGTAGAATAAGCGCTTGCCTGGCAAGGGCAAGGGCCTGAGTTCAATCCCCGGGGATAAACTTCTTGATGACCAGGAAGGACAGAAGTTTCAGTATTTAAAAGGGCACACCTTTCATTCTCGGTGAGTGTGTACCACCTGCTTCTGGTTTTCTCCAGCGACAGGGCCTGGTGTGGACCTTTCAGTCATCAGGTCACAGTACCCTAACTTCCTCTCCTCCTCCGAGTTTGCACAGATTTCCCGTTCTCGGTGATGTTGCGTGACAACGCTGTCACATTGCAGCTCACGCTCTCCCTCCTTAAAATTATTAATCAAGCTTAACTCTTTTATTTTTCTTTTTTAATCTAACATATTAAACAGTACAATAAGACATTGGAACTTGTTTTGGTTTGCTACCAGAAACCCAAAGCGGGACCTCGTGCTTGCCAGGCAGGTGTTTGTGCAGCTGAGCAATGTCCCCATCACAGCGAAATAAGATATGACTTATGTATTATTTTTGCTTTTTACTTTTTAATTGTAAAGGTAATAAAACAATAAAAATGATTCAGAATTTCAAAACAAAATAATAGCAAAGTAAAAATGGTTATTATAGTGCATGTTTTTATCTTTAGAGTAGTTGCCCAAGTCACCAGATATAGGCATGTGAGGTTTATTAACCAATATAAACTAGCAGTTCCTTTCAATTAACTAATAGAAATTATAAGTATAATTATTTATACTCATTATATAATTATCTTCCATATATTCCTTCCTATTTTTATCCTTTCCCCCATCCCAGTTGTTCTTTTCTTTTGAGCAATTTCTTTTCCTTTCACAATATCCATTGCACAGTTTGGGTCTTAAGTTACCATTTCATGTTCTTACACTAGGGAGACAATACTGTGTTTACACATGAGTCCGGTTTATTTCACTTATGAGTACAGTTTCAAGTTGCATCCATTTACCTATAAAAGCCTGGAGTTCATCTTTCGTTGTAGCTGAGTAATACTCCATTGTATAAAAATACCACATCTTTTTTTTTTAAATTTATTTATTTATTGTGTGTGTGTGTGTGTGTGTGTGTGTGTGTGTGTGGCCAGCTGAGCCCACCAGGGGGCGGGGCTGGCTGGCATGTGGTGCTGGGGATTGAACCGCGGTCGCTGTGCTTTTGCTTAGCTTAGCTTGTTCTAAGTAGGTGCTTTAGACCACTGAGCCATCTCACCAGCCCACCACATCTTTTTTTTAATCCATTTCTCAGTTGATGGGCATTTATGTTGCTTCCATGATTTGGCTATGACGAATGGCACTGCTATAAACATGGGTGTATACATATAGCTGTGGAATGATGTTCTTCAGGAAAAATATCCAGAAGGGGACTAGTTAGGTTGGATGGGACCTCTAATCTTAGTTTTTGGAGGAATCTCCACACTGATTTCCACACTGGTTATACCAGTCTATACTTGCACCAAAAGTGGAGAAGGCTTTTCTCCCACAGCCTCCTCAGGATTTGTCATTAGTCGATTTCTTCGTGATGGCCATTCTTTCTGGGGTGAGATGGAATCTCAGTGTTGTTTTAATTTGCATTTCTCAAATAACCAGTGTTGTTGAACATTTTTCATTTATTTATTTGTCATTTAAATGTCTTCCTCTAAGAAGTGTGTATTTATCTCTAATGGCCATTTTTAGATTGGGCCTT